TGTTCACCCAATAAAAGGTTTGAAAGCTACTCAAGGTGAAGGCTTACTGTGTGGAATTGTATTAGCTAAAGAAAGGGAAAGAAGTAAAGTTCTTGCAGCTATGCAAGAAACATAACAGCTAATTCTAGACTTGAAGAGGTCAAGATTTAATTAATGAATAAAATTTCAGAGTTCAGGCAGAGACGTTAGAAATGAAGAATTGAAGTAGACTTTAGAAGAAACCGGTAACCCAATCCTAAACAGGAAACAAGGTATAAACCTCTACTCCTGTTCAAAAGATAGCCGAACCTATTTACTCCTATTGGGCGCGGAGAAAAACACATAAAACAAATATTGAAAAAATTCAGTATTCGAGAAGGGATATCAAAAGTATAAAGTTGAAGCAAACTTTAGAAGGAATCGGAAAACCAATCCTAAACAAGGAACACTGGATAAACTTCTGCTCATGTTTAAAATGCCAGGGAGGAGTGTGAACCGTACGGTGAACTTGGTGAAATACATAATTGATTGTAAAGTGATGTGCCATAGCGTAGCGGTTATCTCTATAGAAATCATGAATCGGCAAATCGAGTTCAAATTTCAGTAGAAGTATCAGTAATGATTTTGATGAATGTATTGAACTCATTGACATTGGTACTTTCATATGGTAGTGAATACTTGAACATCTCACCGCAGATGAAGAAGAGATTTAAGGCAAATATAAATGTGGAGCAACAGAAGGATGTTGAGGATATCACATGAGCAAAGACGAAGTTTTAAAGAAAATGGAAAGAAAAAACAGCACTTATATGTAGCATTGAAATTTCTAGGCGAAACAATAAGGAAAGTGTGTTTGGAAAATTTGACACTCACATGATATAATGAAAACAAGTGGTAGAGAGGAAAACGAAACATAACGTAATTAAAAAAAGAACTTGTGTAAATGGTTGGGAAGAATTAAGACATATAGCAAAACGAAAAAAAAAAACCCTTTACTAAGGATAAAAAAATGTAGAAAGCCATGATAGTCCACGTTCTGGAGGGACATGGTGCATAGAATAAGAAAAAAAGTTATATCATCTGAAAAATTTCTCCCTGCTTGCATACGGCCTTAGTTAAGGTAAAATCAACTAGCTGAAGGCACCATGGGGAAAAAGCATTCTTCTCTCTTATAACTACCTAACCATCTAATATATAGGGAAATTAAAAAGTTGTTACGCCCATTGACAACTATGACTGAGGATAATCATAACATATTTTATTTGTCTCTCGTAAAAGGTATCGATTATCTGCGAAGCCAAGTAAAAAGTGGCAACAAAAAGAAACCTCCAAAACTTTCGAACCGAGACATTCATCAAATACACTTCGTAATTTTTGTAGACACTGACTACAAGTATATTTATATTATTATTAACGTTTTGTTAGTGCAAACCTGTTTCAGTAGACAAACATGTTTATTTGTAGCGAAACTAAACTCTACTGGCCTAGATCATAAAATCTCATATTAAATAAAATATACGTGTTGTTTAAGTAATTATATTGTACTTATAAAATGGAATATTTCCGATGTTCCAAGCCGGTGAACATTAATTTCATTGTTTGTAAATAATCAGATAAATCTACTCAAACAGGTGCAACCAATGAAAAATGCTTTACAAAAATAAATATTGTTAATTAGAAAAACAAATCCCTAAATTGCATAAACAATATTTTCGTATTTTTATTTACTGCATATCGTTGCAAATTCACATAGAGAAAATCTACAAATAGCTAACATTCACTGTTGACAATGACTCAAGCACTTTGCAAATATCAAAGTTATTTATTTTTAAATGGTTTTCAAATGCCATAAGATGACATTGTTTAAGAAATCTTGAAATTGCATCGTACTTACAAAATATGAAAATAATTTATATATAACTTTGTGAATCATTTCACCCTAAGCAAGGCAATAAAGTGTTACAAAACTTGAGAAAATGAAACACTATTAAGGAGCCACAACAATAAAAGCAATCAAGAAGATAACATTTAAACTATTGAAAATCAAAGTTGTCTGGGAAGCAAGACGCTGGAATAGAATTCCACAAGCGAGAAGTGCGAGAAAAAAAAACAAAAAAAAAAAACTATTAGCATGGAACATAGGCTAAGATTTAATCATTTCAATTGTAAAATGATCAGAACTTTACGCCATTCTATTAATGACATTATGATGCCAAATACTTGATGAATATTTTTAAAAAATTAAAAAAAAAAAAAAAACCGAAAAAACAGAATTCAATTGACCATTTAATAATTATTAGTTCATCATCGGAACTACAATCTTTATATCATTTCACATAGATTGTTAATTATTTTTGTTCTTGAATATTAAACTAAAGAACATCTTTATTTCCATTATTTACACTATTTTTATTTAGACTATTGTCCTCATCTTTGTTGTTTTTATTACAACACTTCGTCCGTTTTTCTCCTGTGGCCTTCCTCAGGTGTATATCGATATGTGTAATCTGCAGGGATTTCCGAAGTAAACCCTTTATTTAATCTACAGGAATAGACTGCTCATGTTTAGCGATATCGTCTAGTTATTATTTTTATTCAGTACTGTCCAGTTATAGTTAGCCTGTTTCCACAAGTACATACTGCCCGCAACAGGGACTGAACTCACAACAAATATACCAACAAATTCAACGCTTTTACCCATTAGGCTACATTTAATCTTAGACCATTTAAACCTAACCTTGCTGCTGATTTACCTGCCACTGCTGCTGCTGCTTGGCGTGTTTTGATTGCTGCTGCGGTTGAAGATTGGCTGTTGACTTTCTTTGTTATCGGCCGCCATATTGTATTTATTTCTTTGCTAGGTCTACTAATGAATTCCTCATAGCCTAGCATATGCGCTGATTCTTTCAGACGTCTAACTCTAGAGTTCACTAGTTTCACTTCATTCCACAGGAGCTGATGACCACGTCTTTACGCCATACACGATCCGGCATGCCAGATTTTATTGTTTCACCACTCACTTTATGGTCCTTCATCCTTGTTTTTAGTGGGGCAGCTTGTTTTATCTTTATATTCCCTGAGACAATTGCAAGGGATCGAGCAAACTCAATTCTTGATCATATTCTTCCCGGTGTTAGGCTTTACTTGGCAGTGATTTCTCTGTAGTCTGAAACTGCTTCTAAATATTGTCTTGATATTGTATGAACGATAGATCTTACAAATCTTTTCCGATAAGCCCTTGATATAAGGTAGACAGACAGTGGCAATTTTCTGGGTTTCCTGCTTCACCCTTAAGTTCCCAGCTGTAGATGCTGATGCCATGTTTTCTGGGTAGTCGCTATTTTTAATTCTGATCATTTCTTGTTGGTATGTGTCGGGTCATCACTTATGATTTTTACAAAGCGTTGTAGGCATCGAACTGTTCCTTTCTTCACACTGTATAGATGGTAGGAATCGAAGTTGTGCTATTGTTCGTTGAACATTGGCTACAAACTGTGAATCAATTCCAGTCACTACAGCATAGGAAAGGATGAAAATAACTAAAAAATCATTGTCACAAATTTTATTAGCATGAACTCTTTGGCATACTTAAAAATTTCTTATATCATTATTTTATTATATCCGATGTCCTGTATTCAACTCATGTTCATTACATATTAATTAATTTTATAATATGCCTATTATGAATAGAGTCAAATATCATCTCATCCTCATCAAATTTCATTAAGATGCTGTGAGTTTGGGCATTTGTTACCCTCTCGAATTGTGATTTGAAAACCAGAAACTATGAGGAAAACGTGTGGTTTGCCTGGAGAAACGTTAAGATTAACTCGCACTGCAGTAACCTACAGAAAATTTTTTAACTGAACCCTTTATTGTGCTTTTCGGCTTTCATCGGGTTTATATTGTTCTGGGTAACAGTGATGTCTGCACGTGAATACAGACGTGGGCGAGGCCTCAGGTTACATGCGAACATTTTTGTTAACACCGGTTACATCTGGGTTCTTTTTGCATTAGCTATGAGACTAGGGAAGAATGCTAATAAGATGCTGTGAGTTGTTGTGTTTGGGCATGTGTTATTCTCTTGTATTGTGATTTGAAAACCAGAAACTACGAGAAAAAGCGTGTGGCTTGCCTGAAGAACCTATGTCACTCATGACTAACTCCCACTAACAAAATGTACCAGTTGCTCGAATTTGAACTGCAGTAACGTACAGAAAATTCAGAACTGAACCCTTTAGTTAATCTACGGGGACAGACTGTTTTCCTTCCACTTTTCAGTTATTGCTCACCCTTTTTCACGTGCAACAGCTTCTAAATATTTTTGTGATGTTGTATGAACCAGAGATCTTCCAAATCATTTCCGATAAGCCCTTGATTTAAGGTAGACAGACAAGTGGCAATTTTCCGGTTTTCCTGCTTCACCCTTCTCTTCACACCTGTAGACGCTGATGCCAAGTTTGCCTGGTAGTTGCTATTTTTAATGCTGATTGTCGGTATGTGTCGAGTCATCACTTATGATTTGTACACGACGTAGTTGGCAGAGAACAGTCCCTTTCTTCACGCTGTATGGATGGTGGGAATTTGAAACTGAGTAAATATTGTCCATTGAATAATTATAATATATGCATCTGCAGACGAATAATTTGCGAGGTAGGGAAGTGTTTTACGTACAAAGAAGCAAACACAAACATATTTCATTTGATGTACACTGACAGAAGCAAACATTACAGCATCTTGAAGGACGATGTATAAATTGACCTGCACACAATATGTGCCTAGCCAGCCGTAGTAGATATCTTGGTGAAAGTCTTCAAACGTTTTGTGAAGTTGTAATGTTCACACAAATATATCGTTAGTGTCTGGAACTTAAGATAATATCACGAACAATCACCGAAGTTAAGCAACTTCGAACCTGGTCAATACCTAGATGGATGACTTGGGAACACCATGTGCTGTAATCTTGGATGTGTTGGTCGTGTAGTGGATAACGTTTTTCATTTCTTTTCATTCCCAAACAGTTCAGACTTTCTCTTTATCTGTTCGCTTTCACCGTTCATAAACTCATTCTTTGCTCCTTTTCGTTCACTATTTTGTCATCATATTCCTTTCTTTGATTCCAGTTTTCCTTCTATTGGATCATTACAATTACAAACCATTGACTTCACTTTAAAACTTCATTCCTATTTCATTACAATTCTTTTTCTGGTATCATTATTTTTTCTCCTTGCTACTTCGTTTCAGTCTTTGTATTTAATCCAGTTATTCTTCTATCTGTTTCCGTCTATTTTTTTTCTTTAATTCCTTTCTCTACTCCATTTCTTTTATGTCACAATTATTCTTCTTTTTATCGCTTCTTTCTATTTATTCCTTACGGTCTCCACAATGATCATTTTTCATCCTGCAAAACCATCGACTCTTTACAATCTCTTTAA